CTGAATTCAAATTTCCCACTAACCCTAGGTTTGAGCAACCCGGCCCTGGTGTTTACAATATTCATCTATTAGTGATGACTGATACTTAACTTTACTATATTTTGTTAATTAAATACTGACCCTGTTGTAAATGCAAGGTGTAAACTAGCAAACTGAAACCCCCCTCAGACATTTCTCTCGAACGTACATGTAATAAGTTAAAATGAAATGTTTAACAGAAAAATACGCCATGTAAGTAAAAGGGAAAAAATATATGACTGTGTCTTACCGTTGTACAAAATGAAGCTTATAATTTTATTTCAATGGACCATCTTACAGTTGCAGGTGAAAATAAGGTTGGAGTTTACCCTGTATTGGTATAACCCTTGCTGCTTATTATGTTGGTTTTCTGCAAACTAGTATTTCTAAGCATAATTTCCATAAGAAAAGGAAGCATGTTTGTATCCAAACATGGTCAAACTCACCTTAATACTCATTCACTGGAAGACTACTGGTTATTAAGCCCACAACTGTAATATGGTCTATTTGGATTTTGACTACCTTTGGCAGTGAATGTATAAACAAAACGCCATAGCACTATTTTAATTATGGAGAATGAAGCACTCATTCTTGATAAAGCCACAGTTTATACTATGTTTGGCTGTGTTAAGAAGAACATTATGCTGACAGCAGACACATCTACCCAGGTCTCGTCTAAACACCGAGAAGAGGTTTTGACTAAACTTAATCCAGTCCTTGCATCTCCGGGGAAAGAAGACTTCCCAGACTCAGGCAGCCAGCTGTTGGGAGATGGTTTCGAATCCCGCTTAACACTTACACTGAAACAGTGAATACCATGGCCGACGACAAGAAAGCTGGTTAATCCTCCTTTTAAGTATAAAATGAAGTTCAGCTATGGAGCTGTAGTGCAGTTGTTAGTAGCAAGGAACAAACGACGGTCATTTGCAAGGCTTAATCCTGACTGCCACTGGGGTGTAGCTTTTACCGTGGTGTTGACAAAATTCAGTTACAAGATGGCAGGGACTCCAAATTTCTGCACACAAAAAGTACACTTTAAGTGGACACTTTTCTTGGGTGACAAGCAGAAAATAAAAGCGACAGTAGCAGGGCTCGAAATTAAAAAAAATGTCTGGTCGCAAATTTGCGACTAGTTACGAAAATTTGGTCGCAACTTTGAAAATGTTAGTCGCGAAATTAATTGAGGCCATTTAATCAAGAAATAAGTAGGCTTTTAAATGATTAACGCTTTAATTTTCATTCTTTCAACAGCTTTCATGTCATTTCGAGACTTAATAGTACAGAACGTTTAGCGTCTCGGACAACACCAGTTCATCTAAACGATCAAGTTGAACCTGCGTTAAGGCACATAAATTAGTGTCTGTTATTTTAGTCAAAGCGATAGATTTCCAAATCATGAACAGATATTACAGCAGGAAACTGCAGTTCTTAAATGCCTCCAATCTCTGCAAAATAGCAATAACATTTGTACTGGGCGGACATCCGACATGGTTATAGGTTACGTTACGTAACTAAATTCCTTTAGTTTTACCTTTTGCAGGTTTTCCACCGATGACAAAACAAGTAACGAATTCTTTTATATATTAAGCTTTACATCTGAAGTATCAGGGGTGTTACTACAGTGATTATTCAAAGAACCCTGAAGGACTGAATCATTCAATACGACGATACGTGCCATGCGGACATTCCGCCATCTTTGTTTGCTAAACCTCGTTTTCATGTATACGTAGATTCGCAACCCACTTTGAACTGATTTATTTTACATGTAAATCTTCGTTTAAAATGTGACCTTTGAAACAATTTAAGTTGCTTTCATCCGACATAATTGACTCACTAAAGAAGAACACATGTGTACTGTGAGGGCCGTAACACGGGTCATAAACGCGGGAAAAGTCCTCAGCATGCTGGTGGGACTGTCAGCGGCAAATCAAAACGAAATATGAGCCTGCAATGTACATGTTTACAGAACCCCATGAAAAGGGCGTGCTGTTGAAGGAATATCGTTGCGTGTATGCATTCCAGGTAAATTACGGTAAATCTTCAGATTGCAACAAAATTATAAGACGCTACTTCAATGAATCTTTTTATTTCTAAATTTATTTAAGCAAAAATTCAAGTGCTAGTCCTTTTATTTCGTATCAGTTAAGGCAAAACCTAGTCGCAAATTTGCGACTAGTCTCGTTTTTCTAGTCGCAAATAAGAAAAATTAAGTCGCAAATGCGACGGTATCGGTCGCAATTTCGAGCCCTGAGTAGAGCTAAAATGTTTTGCTAAATTTTCGTTTAGCATTTGAAGGAAACATCTTATTTGAAACAGGTTTTGAGTTTCATGTCAATTATTCAGTGCTTTGAGAATTTATTTAGGGAAGACGCCTCGTCTTGTGCTTGTAAACATTCCAGTACCAGCTCAAATAAGAACGTTTTAAAAGCCTTTTCAATATCACGTTTTAGTATTTACCAAATCAGTGAATAGCAATTTTTGTGTGCTTTGATTGGCTCCTGTAACTTGGAATATCTTTAGCTATTCACCGTTTTTCGACCGGAGCCAAGACGGCATCTCGAACCACAAACTTTGGCTTGTCAGTGTTCACTGGTAGGAAGAAAACTATTTTCATGCTGAATTTGCGACAAAATCGTAAACTGCACTTGCCAAAATTCCCGAAATGTTTGTAAAGTGTAAACAAAGTTCCTACTAAATTTAGAAAGAGCTAGTTTTTTTCAGTTTTATCCAACTGATTTGGTAAATACTAAAACAACTATCCCCCGACAAATACCATATTTTAACTATGCTCGCAAATTCAGCAAGCCAATGCACAGTATACCCAACAGGTAGTTTCGAAAACGAAGCACTCGAAAACGAAGACTGAAGCACGAAGCACCCAAATCTCGAAAACGAAGCACCCAAAACTGGAAAGCGAAGCACCCAAATCTCGAAACCACTGTATGTTGAAGGACAACAACTTTAAGTCTTGCATGACGCAAGCAAAACCAGGTGGAGGCAATGGATGCGTCCGCACCTCCAAAGGTCCACCAATCTATCCCACGGAGCATTTGATTTCTCGCCTGCAGAGGTAGGGCTGTGTTGATATTTATTGGTTGAGCCCATCTTTCCTGCCACCCTTTTGCCTACGTAAGCCTCTGTTATAGCACTTCGCAAGCACTTACGTCGATCACTGGTCTTACCAGTCAACTTCAAGTGTTCGTCAAGCCGGCATTCCAACTTTCTCTGCCCCTACAATTGAATATTTGTTTGTTTGAATGTTTGCATAAAAGGCTTAAAATGGCCAAGGATAGTAGTTCTCTCGTCCGTCCACAAAAGTGCGAAGGTCTGAACATCCGGCCACGTATATTTCTAATTGATCGTGTTCAAATTGATCACGTTCACCACTGACAAGTGCTGACTGTTACCACTGTCCTTCCTTATATTGTTTAGTCCGAGTTTTCCAAAATCTGCCTGCCCAACACAAGCACTATGGCGTTTTTGACGTCTTTGCCGATTTTCAAAGTTTTTCCAACCTGAAAACTTGGGGTTCGCACTTAGCAATGTCCACCGATGACAGATTTCTACCTCTAGGTAATGCGACCCATACCTTGGTCAGGGTAGCCTACGTGTAGCGGCACCCTCCCCCCGACAAAAGAAAAACCATATAAACTCTTTGAAATATTTTTCAGTTTTCCTGTTAAACTGTAAAATTCGTCATGAATCTACTGCTTGGAAGGAACTAATTCAAAAATCACTATGTTTGCCCATTTTCAGGAATATCACAGAAATCACGAAAAAAAAGAAGAGTTTATTTGGAGGACGCTGTCACAAAATGACAGACGTTTGTATGGATATTTAAACATGTTTCAAGAGTCACAACTTGATCCCTGTTCAACGTTAGGAGCACCAAACTTGGTCAAATAACCAATCTCAACATGACCTTTTACATGGTTTGTCAGTTTATCGATATTTTAAATCTGATACTCGCCCCAGTGCCCCACCCACTTCCGAAATGGCCAACAGTTAGGGCGATGGAAATGCATTTGCAACACCTTGTAGTTCTACTTGAATAGTTTTGAACTGCATTCTGTTTGTTATCGTGCTGGGTACCTGCTGCTGGCGACTTGACAAGGGAATGTCTCGTGTTTTTACAGGACAGACAGGTATTGAGTTTGAAGTGCTTCGTTTTCGATTTTTGGGTGCTTTGTCTTCGAGTTTTGGGTGCTCCGTTTTCGAGTTTTGGGTGCTCCATTTTCGAGTTTTGGGTGCTTCGTTTTCGAGATTTGGGTGCTTCGTGCTTCGGTCTTCGTATTCGAGTGCTTCGTTTTCGAAACTACCATACCCAACATGCAGAAGATTGTTAATGCCAGGGCAGTAGCTGGTGCCATTTATTGTAAGAGAGTTACAAAGTCGTATCTCTGTTGATCCATTGGTTAATGGGAAAAAACAAGAGATGCAAGCTTTAGCATCCTTCACATCTCCACCAGATAAATGTTTACTTGTTCCAATGGTGATGTCATGGCCAAACAATGGACTGACCACGCCCTGGCCTTCAACAGTCATGTGCTCGGGCAGACTACTTCCTGATTTTTTAGCACCAGCGAGTAAGGAATGTTTTTGAAGTTCTTCATCTTCTTGGCCAGTTCTTTAAAATATGCATGCTTCACCTCAAAATGCATACACACCAACTTCTGATCAGAGGGCTGAACTTCGAGATCTGATTTTGAATGTGCACGAGAAAGTGCAGTTTGGGAATAATAGGGGTATCCGCAAAATATGTTCTTGAAAAGGTTTAGGTGGTTCTCGATTGCACATTTCAGATACAACACCGTCTTTAAAGAAATGCGTGTAGAGAAAGCAATCCCTATTATTTCTAGGAGGGAAAAAAACCATTCCCAATGCTGTGAATCAGTGGGGACAAATTTGCTCAAAGTGAGCGATAGAACTTGCGCCAACAATCACATGTTGGCTGCCCCCTGGCCAAAGTTACTGGAACTTTGTCAATCCAGGACTGTTGCCTTGATAAAGCATGGTTTGTTCTTAATTTGTGAGTATCCACAAGGATATTTCCGTATTTCCTCGTTTAAGTCTTGTAAGTTGAAGATGCTCTCCTCCTCGAAGTAATATTTTAACAAGTATTTAAATTCGTAAGCCAGTATTCCTTCAAGAAAGACATGCATGATATCTTGGGGAAATTGTTCACAAACGTCAAAGAAAGGTGCTTGTTCCAAATGGCTTCTCTGGTTGACGCCAAATAACTTCAAATAGTATTCCTTTAAAAATTTGTTTGGGGCCTTTTCTAATTGCTGTAACTGTTCCTTATGAGCTTGTTTACAGCACAAATTGAACTCTTCTTCAGAAAAACAGACCTGCATAGTGTCGTAGCTTTATATGCCCATCAAAAACAAGAAAACGGTATCTCCTCTCTCTTCCAAGCGTCTTAAGTTCCTTTACAAGCACTTCAAAGATGCGGTTGATCCCGTACATCTTGACATGGTTTTGCAAACGGCAAGGAGATGTATTGAATTCATTTCGGATCGATATTCTACTTGGAGGTTTGCTAACTGGCAGTAAAACAAAGCAATTTTATGCATTTTGTTTGACAATGGATTGCAAAGGTTCACGTCGTCATAGTACAACAAGATCTTACGGGCAGTGCGGTCAAAAGAGTCATCAACCAGCACCCTCCGCCTTTTGTGATTGTGTTTTTTTTCTACTCGTCGCTGACCAAGTAGTACTTTTTGTGGCTCCCATAACATAACGCGAAAACAAAGTTTGCTTTCAAAATTACGATGCAAAGCACTTAACATTAATAAGGATCGACTCAATTTATAATTGGAAGGTCCCATTTATACTACTCTGGGTTGGCATCCTGAAAGGCCCATTAGAGCTAATCGAGGATTAAAACTTTCTTCCGTTTTTGTATTTTACTATCCTATGTATTGCTTGGTGTAACATTTGGTGTTATCATTACTGTATCTCAGAGTTTTGTAAGCTCGATTTGCATGTTCTTAGGCAAGAAAACCTTGCTTAAAACTTGGTTTAATCCAGGGTGAAACTTAGAGGAACTGTGTCACGATGGTGCGCATGTGTGAGCTTTGACGGTAGCTGATTGTTTTTGAACCAATCGGAAGCGGGTAAGATGGACGCAAGGAAATTTACATGATTCAAGATTCATTGTTCGCGAAGCGGGAGTCGTTTTTGTTCAATTTTATATATCCCCATAATTCATATTTATTCCGGTACTCCTTAGATATGTGTTGCAGCCGATAAGAAGAAGATTAACAACCCTGCCCTGCTTTGAAACAAATATATACCTACATGTATTTTCACGAACCCACACAAACAAACCAGTCTCGGATTGGTAACCAAAACTGACTGATCTCTCTGTTTGCCCTATATAAACTTAGAAATACCTGCAAATAGTGCCTGACCGGTGACCAAAACACAGTATCGGATGAGGCAAACGAAATGCACAATACAATAAAATAGGCCATGCCATGTGGCCGGCTAGCGCGATGAGCACTTCGCATCATGAACATTGTAGCTCATTGTAGCAGTGTTTGAAAGCATTTTTAATAGCGCCTAATCATAAAACGCTTTCATTGTAATAGTAGTCACATAACGTATAAGTATACAGATTATTCTAAAAGAACAAAGCAAAATTAAGCATAAACAGGAGCCCATCACTATGGCATAAATTGCAATTGCTTCCTTCAGAGTCGTTATGTCGAGTGTTCCGAAAAACAAACGTTATAGATTCAACACATAAAGAAACTAGGTATCAAACGGAACATTCAGGCAACAATTTATTTTTTAAAAGATCAATTCTTACACAGTTACGCTCATATAGAAAAGATACAAGGAACATTCTGTGTAACCTACATCGCTAAAGATCATGCGGCCTGTTGTCAGTACTTTCTGGTAAAATACTATGGATCGGAGTCATAAATCGAATGCCTGTTAAAATGTTTCATGTTCGATGGATTCTTTCCTCAAACCTCACAAGACTTCCTGTACAACAAAAGATTGCTGGGTTTTCTCCTTCTGATTCCAGTCACCCAAGAGGGTAAATTGTTGCAGACAATCAGAAGTCATGATGTAGATCAGCTTCACTCTCCGCTGCGTCCTATAAGGCCATCCCAATAAAATGTTTTGTTTCCTATCGCCCTCCCTCTCGTGAAGGTGGGTCGGTTGGTCGGGCGAACAAAAAAAAAAGGAATGAACACATTAAGGGGTCTGGGTACCAGTGAAGGCCGGGCTGCTAAGTACGAAAGCTTGGTTACGTGGTCCTTTCGTTCGTAATTCCTTTAATATCTGCAATGGCAGACAGTAATTCATGTGCACTTGTGATAAGATTGTGGAAAGAGAAGAGAGTTGTGGCCTTACCTGGGCTAAAGTTCGTTGACAAGAACTTGTCATTTCAAGAAGTATTTACCGATGTGTAACAGCACTATCAAATGTCTTAAAAGGCTACAAAAACGAAGTATTGATGATAATTCAAGACAATTGGTGTTAATAAGACAAGATCGTGTGCTTGTAAATTAAAGTAATTGCTTCTTTACAAGTGATTCTGGAATATTTTTATTTTTTACTTTTCCAAAAAAATGGGTTGGTCGGGCGATGGGAAACGAAGCATTAACTTGGGGTGGCCTAAGTAGTTCACAGCTGTATCACGGAAACCCTTTTCAACTTTCTTTACATATTTTAAGTTTAAGAAGTATCCGGAAAAGGCAGATCGTTGACTGGAGAACTTAATGGACAGAAGTGAAAGCCAGATGACCACATTACACGCCACACTTGATCCGTTTGTAGGAACACTGACAACAACGAACGTGGCTTTGTGCACTTCTCCTTAATGACTTCGAATTTTCAAATAGCTCTTGAATACTGATATTATAGCTTTCTCGGACGTCTAAGGGTCAAAGGAACGGGATTTCTTCACCAAAAGCCAATCTTGAAAAGACGTTCGCCAGAACAGAATCAAGATGACGCATATGTGCAGAGGCGTGTCACAATCCCTTTAACTACGATCTTTCGAGGAAGTGGGCCCAGAGATGTATCCAGTACTTGCAGTGTTGAAAGTAACTTGCAGCTGTTGTACGTAAAAGGGGTGTTTTTACTGGTATTCATAAGTAACGGGTAAGAAGTTTTAAAGAAGTGGATAGGTTGTATTCTGATAAGTAAATTTTGTTCAAAGTAATACTTTGGAAAACAAAAATGTGAAAGAAACCCAATGGAATAATAATAATGATAATAATAATAATAATATGTTTACAGTAACAACATTACATAAGTAAATCCCTCCCAGGAGATTGCAATGCAGACTTGATTCTTCATTGGATATTGTTATGCTCCATTTTATGGTAATTCTCCACATTAGACACCACAGCTTGAATATTATTGCTGTCTAAAATGCCTTCTACGAACACATCATCAAAACCAGCAATGTCACTACTGTCAATCCCAGCATTCAACAAGCTCGTCTCTACCTTCCTCTTAATAGAGGATGTTAGCATCGACAACGAGTACAAGTTCTAGAACGAGATCAGCGATTTTGCGTACTGCGCATCTCCACGTTTTCCAGTCGTCCTGTCAAATTGCACTACCACGAGTTCTCACCAAAAACTCGAAGTGGGGAGAACGACTGGGAAGAGCTGGTTTTCAAAGGTAAATTCGGATCGTTTAATGAAGTTTCTTTTCGTTTCTAGCCTCTCTTTATCATCTTGAACATTCCTTATATTATGTTTTATGTGAAATACTGCTTTTGCAGTCGAGGAAAAGCAACCAAACGTGATATTTCCTACACAGAGTAAATTTGCATTTGCCCAGGAAAGTTTCATGTCTCTCCACAGGCCTCACAGGCTTACGAAATAACCCCGAAAATTGCCATTATTTGGTCGAAAATATCCCAACAGTCGAAGATATCAATAAAGAATACTTACTTCTTTATCCAGTGTGGTTGTTGAGTTGAATTTGATGGGTTTTAGCGTGTTTTAAGACCGCGACTAACCATCCTTCGCGTTTGCCTCGAAAAGTAGATTTTCCTTTGAAAACTGGAGGATGGACCGTCGGGCTCTCAAAACACGCTAATACTCATCAAATTCAACACAAGAACCACACTGGATAAGGAGCTAAGTATTCTTCATTCATATATTCTTCTGTTGGGATATTTTTCGCAACATAATGACAATTTTGGGGTTATTTCGTGAGGCCTGTGGTCTCTCTCGATAGCTTTGTAGCATGCCAGATAACTCATTTACTCCTTTTTTCCAGGATTCTATCAAGATGGCCGAAGCAGAAATGTAAGTGGACCAAAGAGTACTTGTTTTTCTTTATATGAGTATTATTTGGTCTAATTTAGGTTGTTTATAAGGTGCTTGAAGTGCATTAAAAACTCCAGGATTTAAGTTTAATATGGCTGAAGTTAACTTTAAACTTTATAATGCTTACTCGACTGGCATCAAGTTTTCACTTTGTTGAGCTGAAATTTGTCTACAGAATCGAATGATGCATTGAGTCAAACTCTAGAATAACTGAGTTCAGGTTCAACTGTATTTAATTCTTTTATTTTTTGCGAGAGAAGGATTAAGAAAAATAATCCACATCATTTTTGATTCAAGTATTTTCATGAAAAAATTGCACTGGCATAAAGGGAATTCATACTCTAATAGCCCACTTTTTAGAATAAACTTTTCAAACTCTGTAGTTTATGCCCAACCTTGGGATGATGTCTACTGTTTTAGGCTTAATTTTTATCTAACATACTTCAATATCCATGAGATGTAACTATTTCATATGCAGGTCTCCCATCATGCAGCTATAAGCTGTCTATTTTTCATGAAGCTCTCATGAAACAGAAGGAGGGCCTAGCGAACAACCTCGTTGTGAAAGGGAGTACATTTTTAAAAACAAACTTCAAAAGGAAGCTCATTCAATACAAGTTGGTTTTGGTAACTGGGGTTTGGAACAGAAGCCATTTATGATCACGCATTGAACTTAACTACAAAGTTCAGTTTCCATGATCCTAAAGGCCCCAAAATTCCTAAAGTAGGTGTTGTTTGGTGGTAGTAGTGCATGGTTTTCTCACTATTAAATTAAGTTTCTTGCAAACTTTTCCCAGCAAATAGGATTAACATTGGCTTGGTACCTTAAATCTTTTTAAATTGTACTGTTTTCATTTTCATTTTTTTAGGAAAAGAAAGCTATTTATCTGGAAAAAGCAACATGAATTGTGCCTGCTCAAGGAGGTCACATGTGTAGAACCATATGCCAAAAAGCAAAGTGACAGAGGTGCAGCATGGAGAACTATTGCCAGCAATCTTAATGGCAACAAGCAAGAGGGATTCAAGGTTACAGAAAGATCCTGTAGAGATCGGTTCAAAAGAATCATGGAAGAATTTGAAAATAAGGAGCAAGTAGAAAAAAAGGCCTCTGGCATAGATGCTGAGTATGACGAGCTGGACCAATTGTGCCAAGACATAAAAGAGCGAATGGAGGAAGTTAGTAGCCAGGAGGAAGCAGAAAGTGCAAAGAAAAAATTAGAGTCAGAAAAAGCAGCAAGCATGAGGCAGATGGCAATGGAAACTGTTGCAGAAACCAAGAAAAGGAAGAGCACAGGGGGTGATGAAGAATCACAGCCTCCACGTAGACGAGGTGCAGATACAACGCAATTTTTGCAAGAAAGCCTCCAGATAAGGTCACAGCAATTAAAGGCTGAGCAGGCGCTTCGTGAGAGAGAGCTTCAACTCAGAGAGGCCGAGTTAAGGCAAACACAGCAACAGCAAGAGCAGCAAAAAACAGCTTATGCTGCAAGTGTTGCAACAGCTGACTGACATTATCAAGACAAACCAAAGCTCTTTAACTCTTGTGTTTTTGTACACCAAAGCTCTTTAAAGCTTTTGTACATTAAAGTTCTTTAAAGTTACAGGAATGTCTTTGTCACATACTTAGAAATCAATAACATATTCTTTTACAATTCTGTTATTGCATACTGTACTTGAGAAGTGTTGATTATACAGAAAAGGCAAAGGGTGTTACCGTGTTGGTTGACATGCCCACCCCACCCAATAGCTAACCCCCAGTACTCCCGTAGCATCTTTATTTTGAATGAAAGTATTCTTCCAGTTTTGGGGGTGCTAGGTCAAAGTACTGGGACACCTGGTTACCATAACAACAAACAAGAGCATTTTTTAATAGAGTAGCAACTAAATATTGCTTTCCGACCGCACTCACGCCAATTTTGAGATTCTTCTTTAAATCTGTGAATGCCCAGTATGTGGTTATTTCTCCAAAAGACCATTCTACAGTTGCCCGCCTATCTGACATGGATTGATTGAACCTCTCTTGAGCAAGAGTGAGTCTTGCACCCTTGAACCCTATTTGCAATTGTACCCTGTGGGGGTATGCTGGGTCCCCATAAACACATAGGGGTGTGCCATCTGGTGCACACGAGTGCCTCTCCAGGTCTTGGTACAAGCCTAACATCCTTAGCATGCCGGAATCATGACCGCCAAGAGTTTATAGCTGCAAGATCAGAAATCTACGTAGCCTAACTATAATGGAGAAATACACCCTCTGAAAGTCTACAGAGTTCTCCGGCACAAAGGGTGTTCGGGCGCTGAAATTGAACACTGATACCACCAGTGAACTATTGAAGCCCAAAATAGTGGAAGATGTCCCAGGAAAACTCTTTGGAAGGACACAGCTGCAAGCAAAATACTACAATATCAGTGCTAAAGAAATACCACCATTAAGCAATGGATAAGTTGTGCGTGTGAAGCCAACAGATAAATCCGGCCAATGGTTACAAGGCACGAGTAGAAAAGGAAGTTGATGTGAAGTCTCATGATGTGAGAGCTGAGGATGGGCGAGTTTCCAGAAGAAACAAGAGACACCCCAGAAGCAGCAAAGCGCCAGTGTGTTCAAGTAGTAACCCTGTGTCTCTCAGTATGCCAGATGGAACGTTCACTGCCCCACTCTGCTGCTGCAGAGAAACCCAACACAAGTCTAAATCCTGCAGATGTTTCAACGACGTCTATGCCTGTAAAGCCAGTGGGTTTGCTAGTAACTCGCAGTGGTCGGACCTGCAGACCACCCAGCCATTTGAAAGACTTTGTTGTATCGAAGTGACTTTGTTTGAGTTTTTAACTAAGACACTGTTTGAAAGACAATGTTTAGAGCGTTCAGTGACATAATCCTTTACTGCTTAGCTAGTTGTTTGTTTCTGTTATGTCATATCTAGTTTGTACACTTTCTTTTTAAACAAGGAAGGGTGTGACAATATTGCATTGTCCAATCAGATTTGTTTTTACATGTGCGTGCTTGGGCGCGCTTTTGTCAAAGTTTACTGTCATGGCCGCTTGTGATTTCACTAAGCTCTGATTAAGCAAGTTGAAGTTTATGAACGTGAACCAATTCTTTATATGGTGGATCCAATTCCTGTTGCAAATGACACCAAATCTGAGCAAGGCGTGTTTACACTGTGCTATTGGCAATACTATGTGCATGTAGATCTATAATATCTCTACATTCAATTTGTGGTAGTAGTTGGTATCTGTCAATTATGCTGTCATTCACAAACAAGGTTTCCAATCAGTGTGCTTACTCTGCATAATTTTTTTATACTTTGGATATACTTCGGGGTGGAATGGAAGAAAGTACTATTCTAATTATAGTTCACCTTCTGGCTTGCCAAGCCATTGGCAATAACAGTTTTAAAAGTATTCTTGGGCTTCTGGAAAATTGCAGATCATTAGTGCAATAATCGATAGCCAGGGACGGAGGAAAGTTCGTGGGATGTGGAAAATTCTTTGAATTCTCTGCTGTGGAACAGACATCGTTTGAACATATGCTCTCGGTGGGCAGCATGATATCCAACCGCTTAAAATGCAGAAAACAGAACAGTCATGAGGGGGGGAATAGGAAAGCCCTGTAAAGAGCCATTTGCTGTTATTCAAAATATGGTGAAATTATAGGATTTATATATTTGCCTTTTGTTGTGTCTTATTCTTAACACACATTTCTAAATTTGTACCACCAGAATAGATATGACAAGAAAAATCATATGCCAAATCTTACCTTCGATTCATACCGTTATCATATTTTTTCTTTTCCCACTCTTGCCATTGTGAAATGAGAAGCATGTTAGTGGCAAAGGGTAATGAATTCATTTAAGACTCAATGTGTTGCCTCGTGCTTTATGTATGCTTTGTATAGTGATGTCGCAGAGCAAGACACTAACCCCACCCCTACAGGAATTCTTTTGTTGACTGCACTGCACTGGAAATCTATGAGACGGTTTACAGACAAACTAGCAAGTCTGTTGCAGCTGGATTACTAGTAATCATCTCGAAAACAGCAACTCTACATCCTGAACAAGCCATTAGCAATAACAGTTTTAAAAGTATCCTTGGGCTTCTGGAAAATTGCAGATCATTAGTGCTAATTAAAGATGGTGCCTACTTCGGAAATACTTTCCTAAGAAAGTGACTTAATCTGACTAGCAAATCTAGTCTCCAGGGCGTCATACGAAGAGGGCTTTCATCGTGAGCACTATCCAGAATTCGTGTGGCAATATTTTTACCAGCATTCCGAAGGCAACAAACCAGGGCATGTCCACTGCAAATTCGTACCTGTAATTATCTGGTCATACATTCTAGGAGCAATATCACCGCATTTCATGTGGGTCTTGCGTTTGCAAACATCACATGGTACAGCTCTGTGGTTAATGGCGATAGTTCTTGAACACGCCAAACATTTTGGTTTCCCACTGATCATGTTACTCATTGGACAAAAAATTATCAGCCTTTTCCGAGCCACCATAACTTTGTGGCCTTAAAAATTATATAGCTCTGTAATTTATGTACAGATTTTTTAAAGAAAATTGGTAAATTCTCTTTGGTGACTACTAAACAAAAATATGTCAAACTAAAGAAAAGTCACTGTAGCTTTTAAGTTATTAGTGTCAAAAGGTAAATTAGGGTAATTTTGACCACCTTTTGGAATTTCATGTTATTCAGTGGCTGTTGATACAGTGTTGCACTAGATACTAAGTGTCTTTTCTGTGTTTCAGAGCTCACGTTATCATCAGCAGAAACCATTATTTTGGTATGGGTGGAAAGAACAACCATCAATAAGGTACACCCTATCAAGGACCTAAAACCAATTGCCAAAAATCTTAAACTGAAACTGCTCAGGACCAAAGACAAAACTGCTCACATCCGTGCTATTGCAAGTACCCTTTACCCTTTTACAACAGGGAAAGGTTAAGGTGAATGCTCCCTTAGGAAATATCACCAGAGATGATGTGGTTCTCAACAAAAAGCGACTGTTGCATTGCAAGTCAATGTCTATTGCAACTAGTACTGTGTCAGCTGACTTTATCACCTTAGACAAGGTGGTCACCTTAGACAAAGTGGTCAACCATGATCAGAAATGTTGAGCTAATCAAGGAACTTGATCCGATTGCCAGGATTCGCAAACTGAATCTGCTCAGGAAAGGAAGGACAAGATATATGTGTTGTTTAAAGCATCATGGCTGTGATGACTGTTCTGTTGAAAGCTGCTAGACTGAGGCTACATAGANCGTAGTTGCGTGGCCCGTGCAACGGAAATTTTCACGCTGTAGAAAGTTTCAGAAGTCGTACAACGATCATGATCATCTAAAATGTAAGGTTGGCGTTGTATACTAGACAATGTGAGGAAATTAAGGTGTGGAAATTAAAAGTGAAAGTCATGCATCGCGTATCGTATCAGCAATAAAAATTTACCATACCTTGGAAAGATCCGCACTAAAAATTCATCGGAGAGTGTTTGTTTCTTGTAGCCGTGCTAAAGGTTGCAATTTTGCGGGTTGTTAACATTTTGTTCGGAAACTTTCGTCGAGAAACTTTCCCAGTTGAACGGGCTACGCAACTATGGTGAGCGATGAGGAAAACTACGTCATGTAAGGAAACACGAGAGTCGCCCGGCAGCTTCTCTTCGCTGATTGGCCAGAAAAAATTTTTTCTGGCCAATCAGAAGCAGGCAATTCAAACGCTTCTGGAACTGGTTCGGTAAGAGTAAGTGCCCAGGGGCTCGTCTCGATCTTACAGTAAACTTTCACCACGAACATTTTATCGACCCGACTAACTGCCCCTGGGTCTCCGAGGATGGACTCCAACCCGAGCCATCTTGGTTCAAGCCCTATTCCTATGTACTTCATGCCGGAGAAACCTGGACAAGCTCTTGCTAAGATAGTACATGTATGCACACTTGACTTTACAGAATGTCCGTTTCATGAGGAAAGGTGCTGATAGAGTATATTCTGTCAAATGACATATTTTTCTTCTGAAACTGGTAAGCTCTGATCACTGTTTGAATTTGCTCACTGGAGTTTCTTTTAATGTTCTACTTTAACTTCCAGAAATGCGTTAGCTCGCCAACAAGATGTGAAAGATGTAGAATGTCTACCTTTTGATGTGGATGGGGATTGTGTCTTCAAAGTTCCATGAAAGCAACGAAAGATGGAAGACCTTGAAAACAGTGGGTAACATCAAACAGGGTAAGTGCTGGTTTGAATGTTATCTTGTTCGAAGAGATAACCATTGTATTTTTTCAATAAGCTGCCATGGCTCAGTGTCTATTTTATGTCGGCGTATTAATAATTGCCATCTGATATTTTTAATTTTTTATTGCATAAGATTGATTGATCCAGCCACATGCTCTTGGGCTGTGCTTCTTTCATTTTTAAATAGATGTTGCATATACTTAATTGTAAATGGGACCAAATGGTGCAATTTAATATTACAGTAATGCTGCAAAGCATACCTTTATTACCAAGGTGGATTCAATATTAGAGTAACTGCCATTGTGCTGGTCACGGGCAGAGAAAGGGTACCCCTGGAAGAAGGTGATGCAACAAGAAAGCCATAAAACTTTCAAGTTACGTATTTCCTTTACTATGATAATAATTATTGTTCATTCCATTACTGTATTTACTCGAATAAGCGCCGCATTTGGGACTAAAACGTTAATAAGTACCACCCTCGAGTAAGTGCCACATTGGGACCGCAGTGCTTACTTGAAAGATCCTGTATAACTAAAAAACACTACAAAGAAACTCAAAAACAGTATTAAAATAAAAAGTGAAAATCAAAAATAATTGAAGACACCATTAGCAAAGCAATTGAAAAGGGATACTAATGATGACAATCAAAACCCAGTTACGCTTGTTACGTAAAATGTTCATACAGGTAGAGAAAAAACACCATTAAATTCAAAGAAAAGATTTCTTTGTTGTGTCCAATAATATTGTTAAATAAGCGCCTTCCTCAAGTTAGGGCCGCCCTCGAATAAGTGGGGAAAAAATTCTTCAGCACCGTGGCCCTTGTTCGAGTAAATAAGGTATTTATTTATATTCCCAAAACCTCTTACAGGTAAGCAAATTAAACATCTAACCAAAATACATACTGATTTATTTTTATTTCGTGTTTTATTTATTTATTGTGCATAAATCCATATGTCAATATGTTTTTTATATATATTGTTATACAGTTGGATTCCATGGCGTCAGACGCATAGCATCTTGCAATGACACTTATAGATGCATAAATGCGAAGTGTCCATAATTGCTGTCTTACAGGAAAGAAAATAAGAACTTTAAGCAGAAATCAAAGGCAGATGTTGTGGTTGGCTGTTGTGGCTATAGTGCTATAGCTGTTCATGTGATGCCGAAAAAGTATGGGAGTTTGAGAACTCGCATGTCATAGTTTACCATAGTAGCACCCACACATGTGGAGCCAAACCTCCACTACCTGATGCCACACTCAAAGCTGAATTCAGCATCCAAGCCCAGGCAATTTCCATAAGAATGTTTGAGAAGCTCTTTGCATGATGGCAAAACCGTTGAAGAGGTATACAGCGAGATCAAAGGCCTCACTAACCTGAAAAAATTTCAGAGCATCATGCAGAAAGTCGTCAAAGAAATCTAGTAGTGGGCCTCTCCTTTGATGCTTTGGCCAAGATTAGCGAAGACATAGACAAATATCACCCTTACCTTGTTTGGAAAGTTAGAGATGGAAGATTGGATGGAAACAATTGTAAAGAAAAACTAGAGATAACTGTACAAATGAAACTGGGGAGCCAACACTCTTTAGAGGACTGCTTCCTTGATGCTGAGCATGACAGGGTAAAGAGCATGAAGACCATAAACCTCTCAGTGCTACATCCTACAATAAAAGAAATTGTGACCATTGCAAGCATGGAGTGTGAGACAGAGTCAACAGAAACCATGTGTGACTACTGGAAATGTCTCAATGAGGTATGTTGTTATTCAAGTTTCATTAGTGAGTTAACTTAAAAAGTGGTACCATGATCAAATATCAATTTCATGCATTTCAGAATGTAAACTAGTGGTTAAGGAAAGTAAAACACTGCTTATATTAAAAAGAAACTCTTTGCATTAAAAAAATATTCAAATTTATGCAAATTAGCTAGGCAAAGATGGCATACATCTCAACCAATGTGTATCAGAAATGCTTGATTCTTGTTTTTTTTGGCAATGACAATCTACCATGGCAGTTTTTACCATGGCAAGATACTAGGTGGCTATTCTTTGCGCTCCACTTTAATATTTCTCAGTGATACCTCATTTGCCTGATTTAGCAAGCTTACAATTGTGTTAGGTAGTCTACGTGACCCGGTTTTAATGTTCCGGGCTGAAATTCTCTAAAATACAGTCGACTCCCGATAACTTGAACCCTCGCTAACTCGAACCTCGTGTTAACTCGAACCAAAATCGATTTCCCCTGGATTTTCGTCATACTTTCACTGTAATTCTACCCTAGGTAACTCGAACCCCCGATAACTCGAACTCCCGCTAACTTGAACCAATTTTTGTTTCCCCTCAGGTCATTTTCTATATAATTTTACCCTCGATAACTCGAACCATGTTTTGAGCCCTTAAAAAGTCGGGAAAAAAGCCGTCTACTGGCGTCCGAAACATTGAATTTTGGATTTCCCATTAACGTGTTGTAGGAGTATAGTTTACTAATGGAGGCTGATGTTGATTGTTACAGGCTAACGTGAAGCAGCTTTACTTCTCAAAACAGTAAAACGCATGCTCTGGTTGGACTAAAAACTTGCCTTACTTTGCCATTTCGCCGGTGTTTCGCCATCGTTAAGTCCAGAAGGATTGTCAGAATAGAAAGCGAGAAATCGAGTAAATGCCACTCGAAGCTTGTCCATTCCTAAAGACTGCATACTTTCAATCACTGTTTGCCATGTGGCTATAGTTTTAACCAAACGAAGAAGGGAGAGAAGGCGGTGAACGTGAGCTTATTTACTGTCCGCCATGTTTTTGGAGAGTTTGTGGAAGGGATGGAATCTGGAATCCGAAATCCGGAATGCGGAATTCGCAACCCTTTTCCTTTTGTTATTTGTGGAAAAAATCATTTCGCATTTACAATATTTTTTTGTATCTCTTTTTTTAAAATTATAGAATATTAAGCAGGAAGTCTCAGAAGTCTTCTTAGCCTGCTCTAGGCACTAGGGGGATTCCCTATCCAAACTGTCGCTGCTGTTGAAAGATGTCTCAATTTAAATATTTTACTTCTTAAGAGGAGATATCTGAAACTGATGAACTATAATTCAAGAACAGCTAAACAGTGCAAATGTGAAGTGTCAATACGTCATTTTAAGCTTATATTATTTTCCTTGCTCTCGCTATTTTTCCTCGTCTTTTCCTTTCTAAGTGTGATTTTCGGGCTCAGTGAGAAACGAACCATCTTGGCCTAATAATAATGTTACCCCTGTAAGTTGTCTCTTCTTTGCACTCCAAGAAATCGACTTGAGAATGTCTTTGAATAGCCTGAGAATGACTTTTCCGGAACAGCTGACGCTCTGCCCCGCTTAGATTACAAACTTGGAAATGACTACGGTATGTTCTGTTTTCCACAAGCACTGACTCCCCCTCCGCCCCGCTCTTCCTCCGGAAATTTTTCAATAACAGATTTAGACCGTTTTCAATTACTGAGGAACTTTCAGTCATTCTTCAAATCGGTCTATAGCCCACTGACCACCTAAATCGCAGTTTACGCTACTGGCAAACAACCAAAATGGCACATGCACCTGTGAAGTGTTCCTTTGCCGGGATAGCAAATATTACTTGTGGTTCCTCACGCGGTAAACACAATTTTTTTCTACTAAATAAGGGCATTGTCCAAGTAAAGAACCATCTAAGAAGCTATAACCTTTCACGTACGAAGGTCACCGAATATGATCTAATTTTGGCAAGGACTGGAAAGTTTAATCGTTCGCATGAATAAGTAGAAAAGATGGTAGTTTGCCTTGCCTATAGGCACAGTCTCGGTATAATTATACTGGTGGCCATGCCAGGAAAAAAGATTGCCCTTCACTGTAAAAACCAATTAACTGGCAAATGGAGCATTCAAGAAATCCGCG